TTTTTTTTTTTGAGATGGAGTTTTGCTCTTGTTACCTGGGCCATAATACAATGGCACAATCTCGGCTCACTGCAACCTTCACCTCCCGAGTTCAAGCAGTTCTCCTGCGTCAGCATCCCGAGTAGCTGGGATTATAGGCATGCGCCATCATGCCTGGCTAATTTTGTATTTTTGGTAGAGACGGGGTTTCTCCATGTTGGCCAGGCTGGTGTCCTGTCGGGCTCCCACAGCCTCAACTCCTGACCTCAAGTGATCCGCCCACCTTGGCCTCCCAAAGTGCTGGGATTACAGGCATGAGCCACTGTGCCTGGCCTCTTTTCAAATCTCTTAAGAAGATTTTCATTATGGATTTTTTTTTTTTTTTAAGCATTGCTTCTTCACAACTTATACCTGAATTCAAAAGAGCAAAAGATAGTCATTATTCCATTCAATTGGACTTCCTTTTGGGTTATTAGGGGTATTATGACTTGCTATTCCTTAGACAGTTACAGAGCCTTATTAATTTAATTGTTAAATTATTCGGCCTTTGTAAATCATATTTTTCCTTTCAATTCATATCAGAAATTTAGCTTAGCAAACACCTTAATTTTGAAAAGAAAGCACTAGAAATATCTTTCTGCTCTCAGAAGAACTCAGTTTGATTTCTCTATTTTTCATTGTTATGAAAACTTTGTTTTTATACTAGTGTTTCCTTAGGATATTACATAGGTAATGTTTACTTATAAAATAGACTGATTTTAAAGTTTGTGGATTCCATGTTCATTCCATTATATTCAGATAGAGATAGAATAAATAATCTGTAGAGGTTTTATTGAATTGTAAAGCTTTTCTTATTAGGGTGCTCAATTTCTGAATTTGTTATAATTCATGATACACTTCAACTTGAATATTATTAGGATGGAGCTCCAGTTTTAGTGGGGCATATGCAGTTCTTTTACATGACCCTAACACCTCGAGTATGATCATAGTCACCCTCTAAAGGCCACAGCCAGCAGATGCTTAGATTGTTCAAATCATACTGCTTTAGCAGGGACTGGGAAATGGTTACCCACTTTATTTCATTGCTTGCTGCTTTCTTCATTTGTTTATTTTGTTTGTTCATTTATTTCCTCTTTCATTAAGGTATTGTTAAAGAATGACTATATTCGGCTAAAAATAGTAG